TAACTTTGCATTGCTTTGAACCTTGCAAAAAACGCTTTGAACTTATAAGTGTCATTAAACAAGGCATTTCTTTTTGGTATCTGGCTCGCAATATAAACACCACAGAGCAGTATTAACTCCACACGCCAACCGTATAGTATTAACGCGAGAGAGCACAGAATCTTTAACACCATCATCCAATAGTTGTACCAGCTTATGTCAGCCCTGTCGCATTTCATGGAGGAAAGGACGTACAAGTAGTTGATATATGGATTTTAGTGGTTGTTAGGTTTGAGAAATTAAGTTAAATGCCATTCATCTATAAAATAATGAAAAGTTCGAATGTTGGGGACTCGAGAATGTTGAACAAAGCGCAGTATCCTTCGTTCATCATACGTATATATTGTATTTAAGAGTAGTAGCCTCTTTCGAATAATAAAGAGGTTATTTCGTCCTTGTAAAATCCACCCGAACAGTTTTTCTTACTTCAAAACGGGGACTTGTCCGGGGAAAAGAGAGCGTATGGTAACCCTACCCTTATATCTTGGGCACTGCTTGTCTAGTGAGGAATGGTTTCACAGTCTTTCATTTTGCTAAATCAGTTGTTTTAATGCAGTTAATACACTTATGGCTCTGCCTTACAATCTGACATTTCGTGTCTCTCCGCCCAATATGGGCCAACTGTGTGCAGTCTTCGTGCCTATGGTTATACCCACTGCATTTAAAGCATTTTTTTGCTACTAAATAACATTCAATGGGCAGATCATCCAACCCAGTTTAATTTTAGCATTTTTCATCAATTCCTTTCTGACAGATGCATTCACTCACAATTGTCCGTGAATGACATTCAGCTGGTTATTTTTCACAAACAAGACGTTAGAAAGGTTTTGAGAGAGCTAAAGCAACAACCCACCTTCCCTTATTTTGAAGGAGATCTTTTCGCACCAGGTCTGACGAGAGCAGCAACTTCACCTTCGGGCCAACGAATACAGAGCGGTGCGTTGAATGAAATTCTTTTTTTTTTTCCAGGAGAGATGTGAAGGCAACTATACATGGGCGTTAACTTTAAAACTTCATTTTGACTCAACTGCCACAGATATGGAACCTGCTGAGAAGGACCCTCAACGCCAACGAGACTACCAGGAGAACCTTCTTGGCTCGGCTGAGCGTGCTGAGCGCGCAGTCAACTCGGAGGGACTGGGACGCGCTCATCGCGGAGGGAGCTGGGCGCGGTGTTTCGGAGGGCCGTTGCCGCGGCGCGCGCGGCTTTCCTCGCCGAGTACCTGCGCCTTCCTGCAGGGGCGTGGGCGCTGGTCGACAACGGAGGCCAGCGCGCTGACGCCACCGCTCGGGGAGCTGCGCAGCGGCTGGTGGCGGCGGAGTGCTGGCGGCGCAGGGGCGCGCGGCGGCGGGCGGCGGCGCGCTGGCCTTCGCCGGCGCCGGCCTGCGCCCGCTCCAGCGGCTGCTCTTTCGGGCCCGCGCAGCGCGTGCGCCGTGTGCGTGCGCGGGGTGCCGCAGGCCACGCGCGCGGCCAAGGCCGTGCAGGCTGCTGGACGAGCGGTGGGGCGACCGCGGCGTTTGGCTGTACCTGAGCGACGCGCGCGCTGCGCACTTCCCGCCGCGCGCGCGAGGCGCGCGTGCGCCGCCAGCCCACGGTGCTGCCTGTGGACCGTGGGAGGGTCGAGGCGGCTGCGCGCGGCGCAGCCCTCGGTCGAGTCCGCCCCGACGCAAGGTGGTGGTCGTTGTCGTCGGCCCCGAACGCGGCTGGCCCCAGGGGCTGGCGCACGTCTGGACGAGGACTGGCGGCTATGAAAGGAGCTGAGCGGCGGCAGGCGCAGGCCGCGCTCATGGAGGCGGCCACATGCCCTGCCAGGTGCGTTGCGCGTGGCGAGCGTGTGCAGCCCTCCGGCGGTGTGCAGCAATGTGGGGGCGCTGCTGCAGGGTCGCCCCATGCCCTGCGCGGCTTGGCCGCCGCGTGGCGGCTGGGTGCGGGAGGACGCCGCGGACGGCGCGCTGCTGAGGCCTGGTGCTCGGGAGGCGGGCCGATGGCGCCCATGTGCCCGCCCACTCACGCCCCC